AGAGAGCTCCAAGGCACTTGGAAAACAGTCCAATGAAAACACAGTTAGATGGACAGAAAACTCTCCGTCTCCCTCCATTGTTCCCTTCCTTCATCTCTCTTTCAACACCTTTTACTATTCCCTTCATCTTCTTTGTTTATTTTTCCTTAATAGGCCTCCTGGCTATATCGATGCGTGCCCTTGAAAGAGGAGAGAGGAAGACAGAGAGAAAGAACGGGGGCTGCAGGCAAAGATGCACCGAGCGCGACACGTTCTCCTCCTACATCCCCCCTGTTTCCTCTGCTCTTTGAGTTTACACCGTAGAAGATAACAACGTGATATTTCACAGATTCAAAAGAAAATCAAAACCTACTTCCTAGGATTAAGGTTTCATCTGTAAAAGAAAGAGGCGGAGTTCAGCGTTTAGTCCTCCAGTCTGAAGTCGTGTGTGTCTCTCATCGTCCACCTGTCCTCCTCACGCTCATCTTCTATCTTTTATTTTGTTTGCTCTTTACTTTCGCAGTCTTTGGATACGCTCACATGCACAGAATAACTGGATTGGATATTAATTTAATTAAAGTTGATTTAATGTTCCCAGTTGAAACTTTTTGGATGGATTTTCTTCTATTAAAAAACTATTAATTATGCTCAGTAATTTCTTATTCCATACACAAAATAACACAGGTGAAGTTTGCATTAGAAAAATCTATATTTCCCCAAACTTTTCTCTGTCTGAACACAAGGTTTGCAGATACTTTTAACATCAGTGTTTTTTTGTTAGAGCACTTCGGGGAACATTAAAGCCGACCTCGAGTCGGCAGGACTCCAACCAAACATGGTTCCTTTTTTAGAAATGTCAAACAAATTACTGGGCGTTGATTCGGTTAGATATTCATTTGCAGCACTTTCATAAATGATTAAACCTGTGATAGAAGCTGCATCTTTATCCTGCTTTTCACAGGCTGCATCACGAAGTAAAACCTGTGTTTTTTGTCAAATTTGCACGTTTACCTGCTTTTTCTTTTGCAGTCTCACTAAATGTTTTGCCACCAATAACATTTCTTTACTTTGTGACTCAATTGCGTGCATGAAATACAAACAAAATAGAAACACAACAGCAGAAACACACCTGGGATGCTATCAGCTGTCGAAGATACCTATAAGAAAGGTAAGAAAGGCTCAGTTTAGGCTAACCGATCGATTGCTTGGTATTTCTTTTGAATAACACATTTGGCACTTGCATGTAAACACAACCATTTATTTGCCTTTGCCTCTGTCTTCCTCTCTACCTCTCTGTGTGTGTGTGTGTGTGTGTGTGTGTGTGCCTCCTCCTGTTTATCAGTCTCTCCAGCAGCACTGGCCCTCCTCGATGGCTGTCCTCCGATACAGCGTATACTGTAGTTAGCTTAAGGCTCGATTGTGTGTCCAAAAAAGTCGACGGTGCGATTTCCGTTCTCCTCCTGTAGTCTTTCTTTCGCCTTTCATCTTTGAGCGGCCTTTGTTTAGAAGGGTAAAGTTAAGAGTGGTGGATAAGCGGCGTGACGACTCATCGCTCTTAATCCCCGCAGCCCTACCGTGCACATACAAGGCTCTTTGGCAATCCATAGGTTGCAATAAAACAATCACTGACATTTTTTTCACACAGTGTCTGTCCATCATTTGGGCATCATACAGTTTGGAAAGCAAAAAAATAGAGATATATACCAAAAACAAACTCTAGAATACTGAATCTAAAGCACGACTCCATAACAGCATGTTAGATTTTGATAAACCTCTGATTTTCTGCCTTACTTTATCTTTCCTCTACTCTTTGTAAAGACTCATAATCTGTAATGGAAAATAGGCCAAAATAGCTAGTAAAGGACTGAAAGAACACGTAAGACCGTGGAGTCCAACACAAAGCTAAAATAAAAGGCTAAAAAAATGGCATAAGAGCTCTACAGGGCGGCTACGAACTGAAGCTGGCTTTTCTTTACCTTTTTTCCCAAAGAGACACAAGTCTAAAACAGAACAAAAACAGTCACCATTACTCTTCTATGCCACTGGTTTCACGAAGCGCAGACCGGGGCAGACAAAGGAGCGAGCGAGCGCCACATGGCAGGCTAATGGACGTTAAAAACTCACAGAACTCATATCCAACACTTTCAGAAACAAACCAAAAAAAAGAAAAGAAAATGTCCTTTTTCATACTCGTTTCCTTCTTTGCCATTAGAAATCTAGATCATTTGAGTTGTGTGGTTCAATATCTTTTTAAACTTTTTTTTTTGGGGGGGGGTTAGGCATTCACTTGATATGTGTTGATTTCAGTCAAAAATGACCCACTGAACCGACCCACTGGTGCCCTGTGGAACATGCTTCTGCTGTTCGCGCTGAAGTTTCACGTCTGCGTCAGTCATGAGGGCGGATCATCAAATTCCTTTCTTCATCAAGAATCCCAACACTTTAGCCCAGACTGTGCTGCCATTTGTAGTCCAAATGTCCAGACTGTCACAGGTGCTGTAGTCCATTCTTCCCGATGTCGTTCCAGTGGCTCGTGGGTAATATTCAATGGTAGATCAATTATTAATACTCTTTTTTTTTTTCATTCCTTCATTCAATCACAGGCTTTTAGAATCGAGCAGGCTGTCTCCTGCAGGCAGAGGAGAAAATGGACTATAGGCGGGGGGAGACGGGGGTCACATGTTCCCCTAGTTTAGGCCTCGTAGCATGTAGGGGAGATAAAGATCACAAGTTCCCACTGGCACAAAGACAATCGGGGAAACTCCGGGTTCACCCCGTTAGACATCAGAGCAAGGGGTTAGCGGGGCATTAGGTAGGGGACACGGGGGTCGAGATTACAGATAGTGCTTCGTTTTCAAATTGTCTGAGAACAAGATGACTTGCGGGGGCTCGCGTCTTCCCCCACCATCACTCTCCAGAGTTCCCCTCTGAGTCCTCATGCCTCTGAGCAGCACCTCTGCTGGTTCATCTTAACTTTATGCTTGATCCCGTCGTACAGCTCAAAGTTGTAGTTCTCCAGTGTCGTGGAGGAGCGCGAGGAGAGCCCGCTGTAGGAGCACGTGCAGTAGAGGAGGAATCCCGCGCACACCGCTCCCAGCAGGACGCCTAACGAGCTCATCACGATGATGGTGAGGAGGATCGGGTCGAGCGTGTACAGCCAGGCGTTGTCCTTGTCCTTCTCTGACACCAAGGTGACGGAGGGGGGGTCCATGTTGGAGGAGGGGGTGGAGAAGGAGGATGGCCACCCTGGGAACACATAGTCTGGAGAGAAAATAGGAAATCTTAGCAAGCTGATGTATTCAAGACCACAGTTGTTATTGATTAGCAACTTTGGAAAACGTAATGCAATTAATTACTCTAAAGGTACGATCTGGTGCATGTGGTGAGGGCTGAAGTGTGCACTCCTACTTAGTAAGGCAATCGGGCTAATCCGAATAATGAATGTGTACACACGAACGAGCCAATCCACAATTAAGTGCTGCATTTGGAGTGTTTTATGGAAGCACACACTGCAGACAAGCAGGAAAGCTGTAAACAGACAGTAAACAGACTTGTTTAGCGAGCTAAAAGCTGAGTACTCTCGTCTTGTTTCTGTCAAGAGGCTGAAAGAAACAAGGAGCAGTGGGCACAGACACACATGTAATCTGTGATTGTTACAGACAGATGTTTTTCTCGGTGCCCAGAAGGAAGCTGTCTGTCTCACTTTGTCTGCCGTGGAACATGAAAGAGGAGGAGGACGAGGAAGAACGCACACCGTATGCACACGCAGACATGCGCTTTTGCCAGCTCGCTCACACTCGTCTCCTTTCTTTGCACACAGCAGAGATTGTCTGTCACCGTTGCCACGGGCTCTTTTCTGGATGAGCCATAGGCACGCCTGTCCTTAAAGAGCAATTTCACTTGTCTTTGGGTGAGACTTGTAAAACAGCCAGTATAGCCCGAGGCTGCGAGGAGAGAGGAGGATAACCTCACCTTCGTTGATGGGGGGCTTGTGGTTGAAAACAGGATCTTTTTCAAAATCTATTGGCCTGGGATCTGTTAAAGAGACAGAAAGAATAACAGTATTAATCTAAACCGTCTGGAGCTACTCCAGAGTCCCGCCGCGATAACGTCGCTCCGTGTCTACGCTGCATTTGTAGATGGGTATCAAACAGCTCAAAGAGTTTAAACTTTCTGAAGAGATCAGGGAAGAAAGCTCCTCCAAACTGTTTTGTTCCGCGCTCGGTCTATCGGCGAAAAACAACATCCAGTCTTACTGAACTCTTCTCCCAGACTACCTGCGTAAAGCCAGCAACTTCCATTATGTGATAAGCATCAGTGCTCTTTTTTTATTTGCTTAGAAATGAAAAGAAAGACGAGAGGAAAGACGCGAGTGGAGGCTGAATTTTAAAAAATGAAAGCACACAAAACAGTTTCATAGAAAAATATTACCTTTATTACCTTCACATTCACCACAGTTTATTTTCTTTTTATTCCAAGACCGTGAAATTCAACAAGCTAAAATACCACTTTAAATGTTCGAGGCAGGCCAGAGTGCAAGGCTTTGGAGGTTTTGAGGGCTCAATTCTTCTTCAGTTTTATTCAAGGAAATTGACATTACAGTCCCCAGAAATAAATGGAGCAATATCTGAGCAGCTGATAATCATTTACTGCCAGAGCAGAGGAATCAAAAACACATTATGAAGTGAAACTGTAATAGATATTCAGAAGATAAAAGGTGAAAAACTCATTTAGAACATATGAAAAAAGCTTCATTTCCTCAATTAGATAAAGTTGTTCGTCTGTGAGACAGTTTTGGCATCTTGCGATTACACCTTCAATAAACTGCATTTACAAACTTTGCATATTTCCTTCAAAGCTTACAGATGAATTCCTTTAAATGACACCTGCTGCACTATTCGCTCATGAATGTCGTAGAACTGAGTTTAAACGAAAGACGGTTTTCTAAAAATTGATTTTCTAACCCAATTAGAGAACAAACTAAAGGAATTAACCAAATTTTAATTTCATTTCAAATATTAAAACGACAAACAAATCCTATGCTAATTGAGTGCATTCAATTAAGCAAACAGTGGAGCGTTTCTAAATGTAGTTATTTGACTGACATCAATATTTAATGTCCTCAAAGTGCATGACATTGAAAGACAACCATCAAATCTTGACAAAGGCAGAGAAAGTGCACAAAAGCAATATAACAGCAATGTGGCTTAGGCCGGGGATGAAGAAGTTTACAGCCTCAAGGCTGATTTTACTCAGGCGGAGCGAGTGAACTAAACTCAGCTTCATCTGAGGCCGTGTTTCAAAATCATCAAGCCTCTCTGCTTCCAACAGATTTACAGAAGAAACATTTAATTCATTAAGAAATAAAAAACAAAGCTATACACTAAAGTAAGATAAATCTCAACGCGTGGTTGTATCTAAATTTACAATCAAGCTGAAAGCATGAAAGGTTGCAAAACTAAAAAGTGATTAAAGAGAGCGTCGGCAGCAGACTTTAATGAATTAATACTCTCGTGTAATTAGATGTAAAAACAGTGCAGTTATTCAGAAGTTAATGAACCTGGTAGCCGTGCTGTAATTATGTTTTAAAGGTTCCTACTGAAATGCAAAAGACGACACGTCTGTAAATCTGCTGCCTGACTACAGACCCTCCACGCTCTAAATTCTCCTTTTTCACTGCAAGCATTGACAAAACATTAAATCACTTAAAGAAAGATGAGAAGAAAAAATCAGGATAAAAACCAGAGGTTTGGACGCTCTTTGGATGACTGCTGAACGCTTTCTAATGATCCTGGCTGAAAGCCCTCGGGCGAGGATCCTGAGAAGAATCATCGCATGGATCTGAAAGGAGATTAAAACTCCCCGTAGCCCCATTTTATCTCCCTTCTCCAATTAGTAAAGAGAAAAATAAAAAAGGATCTTTTTTATTCAGGAAGAGACAGGGATGGCTCTTTGGCACCATTCGCTGTTCCACAGGGGCCCGAGGACCTGTTAGAGTGCTTGTACGATAATATTTCCACAGGAGGAAGAGGAAAGAGAGAAAAAATAGAGATGGCCTCAGGGCTAGAAATGCTTACCGCAGGGCTTTATGAATGCAATCAGCTCCATTATCTAATTAGAATTATTAAAAGGCTTCAAAGTAGTCTGTGATGGAGAAGGGAGAGGGAGGGAGGGAGGCTGATTTATAAGGGCCGCATGAAAAGACGCCAGAAACTTGCAAAAGTTCGATAGAGAGTGAGAGAGAGTGCAGGGGAAAAGTGCACGGGTAGCACAACATAAATACACCCGTATATCATTCCTCTATTTGAATCCAGCCCCACATTGATTGGGTTATGGCACAAGGCTGCTAGAATGAGTCATATAATGTGTAAATCATACGCGAGTCGATTGATATGGAAGGGAGAGGGGCTCGGCACACTGGAAATGGATATGCAAGCACAAAATAACTAAAATACTTGTTGACTAAGGCACAAAACAGCATTTTATAAGATGCAGCATGATGAAATAAGCCAATATGGGGAATATCTGCAGTGTGGAAAAAATGCATGAAACAATGATTTTGATAACGGTGTTTTGAGAGCTTGCTGCAAATCTGGGTTCTTGGCTAATAGAGGTCTGCGGTGGTTAGATGGCGTTTGCTCGTCTGTGTGTGTGTGCAGTGCAGTGAGGCTTCATCACGCTGTCTATTCTGCCAAGAGACTTCTTTCATCTGCTTTTGTGTTTGAAACAACCTGCCCTCCTCCATCTATTCTCTCTTTCCTTCAATCCAAACCACAACCTGCCTCCCTGTTAGCCTCCCTCTTAGAGTAAAAGAAAGATCTATCTTTAGAAAGTATAGAGAGCATTTTTTTCCTTTTACTTCTTTCATCTCCCTCCATCTCTGGGCACATTCTTTGGAGAAAAAGGGGGCTCGCTTAATGGGCCCTTCTCCTCTGAGAGATTTTGCTCCCCTCCATTTCTGCCTCTCATTTTCTCTCCTGTGTTTTTCACTGGGAGGATTTGCAATGAAGGGAAGGAGAAGAACAGGAACAAGTGGGTTTTGATAAAAAGGCTCAGGGATTTGGGCATGAACAAAATGATGTAGGGGGTAGAGATGCTGTGAAGTCCACTCTGATACACCGTCAGCTTCACAATCTAGATAGATTTTTTCTGACATCATGTGAGCATTCTTCATAAAACACGTTAACACTTTAGATTTGCTTTATTATGAGCTCCTATCTTATTCAAACTAGAAGCTTTAAAAGAGCTTTCAAAGCTTTCAAAACACTAAATGACACCGAATAGTTTTTTTCATCCCAGTGTGCAGAATCAATATAATTTTTAGTCAGCAAGTATAAAAACAACTATAGTGTGACTAGTGTGCACCAGCAACACAGAAGGACAGAAAGAACATTAATCAATTTATGAAAAGATTCACAGTAGATGTAAGTAAATTAAGAAGAAAAGTGCTCATGTTCTCTACACTGCAAAAATATGAAACCGCTAATCAGAAATGCATCATGTTACACTTGCTGATTAAATACACAATCAAACTTATGAAAGCAGTCCTGTTAAAATGCCAAGTAAGACCAAGACGAAAGATTCAATTCATTTCAATGTTGTTAGTATTCAAACAATAGTCACATCAAGGTCTTTATAGTCAAAAATAAAGACCTACAGAGAAAACTCCAACAATCAGACACCCCCTATAACCAAGCACCTGGCGACAATGGGAAGGAAAAACTCCCTTTTAACAGGAAGTTACCTCCGGCAGAACCAGGCTCGGGGAGGGGCGGGGCCATCTGCCGTGACCGGTTGGGGGGTGAGAGCTTTCTTTAATATGACTTGTAACTTGTATAGTTCAATTTAAAAACAAACTGTTAACGTTTCGGAGGGAATAAATAAATAAATAAATAATGAAATAATGTGGTTGCACGTCCTTTTATAACTGGTTTGCATAGAAAATTAACCAATGACATTCAAAATCATGCCAAACAGTAGTCAGCACACACCTGCCATCGGTTAAAGAGATTCTGACTACAATCAAATAAAGTTCAGCTGGTCTAACACGACTTTTCTGACACTTGCTTAGTTAACACTTTGTTACTGACTAAAAGAGACCGGGTACCCCTCCAAAGTGGTCAGGGAGGTTGCCAAGAGGCTGACCGCGACGTTAACCACACGTGACAACAATCTCTGCATCCTTCACTTCTTCCATAAGCGTGTGGGAAAATGTTCTACGGTCTGAATTCTGTGGCCACAGTCCAGAAAGTGCCCATCACCAAAACACCACCAGACCCACTGTGAAGCACGGTGATGGCAGCATCATGGTTTGGAGCTGTTTTTCTTCAGCTGGCACTGGGGAACTTAAATAAATAGTAGTCAAGGTGCAGGGAACAAGTCTCAAATACCAATCAACGTTGGTGCAAAACCTTCAGGTGTCTGCTAGAAAGTTCTAGATCGATATGAATTTCACCAAGTCATCAAAAATATCATCACCAGAAAAGCTGAACCCAAAAGAAAACCTGTGGGGTGACCTGAGGAGGGCTGTGCACAGGCGACACCCTCACAACCTGACCGGTTTGGAGAGGGTCAATAATGTTAATTTACGATGTGCCATGCTGACAGAGTACTACCTCCAAAATGCTGTGTAATGCAACCAGCTTACTTTAAATGTGACATTTCCCTCCTTTTAAGGATTTTAGTTTGTTTTCCATGTGAACTGTACAGGATAAACTGTCGGTCACATTAAAGATGGAAAATGTTGGAAATTATTTATCTCGGTCTCAATAAAACCTGACATTTTAACAGGTGTGTCGACTTTTTCTATCCACTACACAGACCATCATTGCAGTGAGTGACAGATGCCGATTAGGGGCGTAACAGTTCAGAAGCAGACACTAAATTTGCGATACATCCACGGCCTCGTTCGTTAGACCTCACCGCCGCTGCGCTCTCATCTTGTTATTGATACGATATGGAGATGATGTAAAAGTTAAGAGCATCAACTCAGTGAAAGACTGTAAATACAGACAGACCATATGTGACAGCCATGGCAGACTAACTGCAGGGTCACGTCTGGTACATTAGCCAAGCTTTGCTGTAAAATCCAGTTTAAATGAGCGTCTGTTTACTGGAGCATTTTTGTGTTAGTATAAACAGCATGCGTTTGCAAATATGGGATGCATATTAGCAGCTGACAGACAGATGTTGCGTCCTGTAATGATGTGCTAAATAGACATGACTTTGTATTGCTTATGATAGCTGGTCATGTGGAGCTGGTTAAAAGCAGCTGTTACCTACAGGAGAGGATTAGGGCCACTGAAGATGAAAAAGTGACGACTCAAAAATATTTTCCTCAGTGGCCCTAATCCTCCCGTCCAGTGATGTCCTGTGAAGGTAGGTAATCATGTCAAAAACCTGTTTGCTGCTTTTTCTCGTTAATTCAAAAGAAACATGAACTGTACCGTGGATCTGGAGAATCGTTACACCCCTAACAGAAAATACATAAATAAAAAGTTACATTGTTGCTGCTCTAGAATCAGTCGGCAGTCTTTAAGCAGATAAATGATTTTCCAAAAGGCTTCAGTTGTAAAATGCTCTTTAACAAAGCAAGTTTGGTCTCATTTATTGGACTGGATACCAGTGTTGGATGTGTTAGAAACAAAAAAGGCCTTGGTAATTATGTGCAGAAAGTAAAGACTGTTTGTAGATTGTTGTATTTGCAGAGATTTAAGAAAAACAATATTCCACATTCAAATGATGCACGATAGTACTTCTTTTCTTTTTGTTTCATTCACCCAACCTAATGTGTGCAAGACATACACGGGTGTTTAGTTTGAACATTGACAGACACAGGCATCAGATTATCCACGAGATCCAGGCAACAAACTGTAGAGTCAAACTGCATCCATTCAGACTCTTACTGGACACAGAGGCACTACCTCATATCGGAGGTTATAGGTTTAAAGCACGTTTTTTAAAAAGGCATATCCAGAATGTAATGAAAAACACACTCAAAGTAACATGTGAGACTTGAAAATCTCAGAAGTGTCCGTGCATATATTGGTGCGCGTGTTTCAGCTGATGTGATGCGACGTAAGCCGTCTCAGAGCTGCAGGGTGCATGTGCAGCTGTCTATCTGTCACAGCTGGACCGGCAACACTAATTCTTCCTGTTTTTTTGTTATTAATCTGTCTCTGTCACTATCTCAGTCTCGCAAACACACGTGGGCAAATAAAATTGGGCTTCATTCAGTCCCGGAGAAGCAGCCATCACTCTTAATGCTGCACACAAACACAGCGTGTCTTTTCTACCTGTGTGTAAATCCTTCCTCTGTCTGACGGGTATCTGGAGACAGGCAATGTCCAAGCTGCAGATCAGAGCGGGGCAGACAGACAGATCCTGCTCTGACATTTACTGAAGGTGGGGGATATGCTGTTACAACCCTGACATTGTACGCTGCATGTAAATGCAGTGTGTGTCATCCACAGCCTGTTATTCATACTACCTTTACTGTGATTTACTGTGGTCATAATCCAGCTCGCTTTCAGGGTTCAGGTATAGAAGCCAGTCTACGCTCGACATCAAAAAAATTGCCCCACAGTGTCGTTATCAGGCCCTCTTCAGCCATCAGAAATACAACCGAAGCTCTGTCATCTGCTCTTCAGGGGTACAGTTTAATGTCAGGACTTCTTTCTACCAGTTTAGTACGCCGATCAGTTAATTAGATCAGCCGTCAGCAACGTGCACTGGAGTGCCTCTGTGCAGATCCTCATCAGTGAAGAGCAGTGATTATGCTGAATACGGCTTCTTTTCACACCCCTTGATCGCTTCATTTAAAAAACATACTATTAAATCAGATGGGCCTTTTCAACACTGGGAATCGTAGCTGTCCTCTTTCTCCAGTGATATGGTGAGCATGGGTTCCAGACTCGGCCCGGTGCTTGGGTTCAGGTTGTTTTGGTTAGGGCTATGGATCAGATTACAGCCTGGGTTTTGGCTCTGGTACCAGTTTTGGCGACCTTGCTGATATGGCAGTTGGTTGTTGCGGTACGTCACCGAATGATGATGACTACTGCTGGTCTTCTTGGTCGCCCAGTGGTACCGGTGGCAGCACAGTATCACCAGCACGGTTATACTGACCAGCACCAAGAGGGCACCGCCTCCCGCCAACACATAGTACCAGAAGGCAGGGACTGGCTGCACCACCACTGTGTCTACTGTGGGCTCCATTCCAGATATGGCACCCCCTGGAGGGCAGGAGGACACATTACTGGTTGGCTCAGTAGATGAGCAAGGCAGGCATGCAGACTGCATTAAAGAGTTCAGATTTAGAGATCTATGTTCACTTCACCCCTGTCAGAGTGTGAGTGAGCATGGCAGGTCTGTCAAGCTCTGAGCATCTCCACACACTGAAGCATGCTGCTGCAGTAAAAGTGACACTTTTTCAAACATTATAACTTCAAACTGCAACACTAACATGCTTGGCTAACTTTCCTATTAATAATAATGAGTTTTATTTAAGGCAAACACACTTTGTTCTGGTAATAAACTAAATATATTAGTTTGGCTATCAGCTCACGTATGCTAATAGTCGTTTATGTTAGAAAAGCCTCCTTATCATAATTAACAATATTAAAAGTAGAATGACTGTTTAGTTGGACTCTAATTTGTGGTTTCGTTCCTAATTCTACTTGGACAGAATTTTCCACCTGGACCCTGAAAAGGCTTCTGAATGTGGCCGAAATACCTTCTTAAAAAAGATGGCAGCATTTGATATCTTCTTTATTTGCACATCTTTCACATCTATAATTAAGGTGTGAGAATCCAGACTGTTTGTAAGGGGAAATTTAGCTTATTATATCCATATTTAAAATGTGTTTTGCAGCACTTTAAAAGAATTCATTACGAAAACTAGGAGCGTTCAAAGTCTTCTGAGGACAGAAGCAGAACATTTTTGCTTATTCAGCTTTAATTAGAGCTAATTTATTATAGCGTTTGCCTAAAATCATTGTAAACTCAGAGAGAACAAAGAGCTTGACAGACCTAACAACAGAAGCAGGGGTCATTTACTCTACAGGGCAGTGTGCCGAAACTCTCGTGCTCGCCGCTATTTAAAGGTAAGAAAATAAATCAGGCAAAAACCACTTTAGCTTTAACATTTTGCTGTGTGTTAATATTTAAACAACCAATTAAAGGCTTCATTTCTTATAAAATATTTAACTTACTGTAACTCTTCTCTCTCTTTTTTTGATTTATGCAAACATCACAAGCATTAGCTGCACATTGACACGCAAAGGCCCATGCCATGCGTTCAGATTGGATCAGAGAATGCAAAGCCTTGATTATGCAGTGCTTGGGCGACTTGAACAAAGGGCGGGGAGTGTTAAGTGGGTGTATTTGCTGGGATGCGGCATTTTTATCGGGGCAAGATCAGACCGAAGTTGAGTGCGGAGAGAAAGAGATGGAGAGGGAGAGGGGGAAATTACAGGGGCAGAGAAAGGATAAGAAAGAAGGCATTATTGGAGGAAAGAATGGAGTGAAATAGAGAGGGGTGGTAGAAAGTGAGAGGAGAGAGGGTGCAAGGGTGGGGAAGAGAAGGCAGGGCGCTAATCCTGCCATGATATCTTTAATCCTGCATTAAAGGGTTTGTCTGAAAGTTCAATACTCTGTCAACTCGCAGTGAAAGAAACCCGCTGAGAGAGAGGTTATAGAAGAGAGAGAGAGAGAAAGGAAAGGGGGAGAATAAAGGAAAGACGGTGCATGAGCAAGAAAGACAGGAAGGAAAAAAGAGGAAATAGAACTGAGGCGAGCGAGGACTAGATGGGATGAGAGAGAAGGAGAAAAAAGAGCTGAAATAAGAGATGGAGGAGAGTTGCAAAGCAGGATACAAAACCTCACGGAACCAGTAAGCTTAATTTAGTCTTTTTTTGAAGTTCAGACGCACTCTTTAAGGGTTTAAAATTGGCTGTGATTGTAAAGCTGCGCTGCACGGAGAGTCTTCCCACCGGTGGATTAACTGACAAATAATTTCCAGGGCTGAAAAAGTTGACCGTTACTTTGCTTTTTGAGGTAGCAAAGGGGAACGGCTGCTAAAGCTAAAACGTGTAGCTTTCAAGGGATGCTTGGTAACTACAGCTTCTGAATCACTTAATTAGCATCAAAGCCGGCCTCTCACTTCACAAACAAAACAGAAAACCAGAGTAAGCCCCTTTTCTCTGTGTAGACGCACGAGTGTGTGTGCAATAATCAACCGATAGCTTCCAACAGACACTTTCAAATGTTTCTGCGAGCGTCTTCTTAACATCAAACTTTTTCTAAATATATGTATATATATTTTTACTGTACATTTTAATCCACCGGGAAGATTTTATAGTAAAAACTTGCCGTCTGTCTGGACTATAATGTGTAGTGAACGCTCTACGAATCAAATATGAGTGCTGCCAAATCAGCGTCTGACCAAATGCGATTTGTCACCATCTCCCCTTCTGTTCCTGAGTTATGGTTGCCATGTAATGACCACAAAAGTGTTTTTGCACAACATTATGATGTCGCAGTGAAGCTGACCTTTGTCCTTTTGGATATAAAGTATCGCCACTTTGTCATTTTATCCCATTAGACCTTTGTGTGACATTTTGTAATAATTAGCGTGTGACCTCTGAAGTCATGGCCAAAAGCTTGGTTTGTAAGGTGATCTTGACCTTTGACCACCAACATATAATCAGTTAACCTTTGAGTTCAAGAAACAATTTGAGGTATCAAATCACCGGACTGGCACAGATGGACAACCTGACAGCGCCTGACAGCGCCTGACACCGCGGCGTCGCCTTCACGGGGCCGACTGAGGCGTTTAGGAAAATGGCTGGTTGCTTATGAGTGCACTGAGTGTTTTTGCATCTGGCGACTGCTTGCAGCAGTACCCACAGGTCACCTGGCAGGGGGCAACCAATCAAACAATCACTGACTTGTAGCGACTGCAGTCACTCTGCGAATGACTGGTAAATGTTTGCTGATATTTGCTGTCTTATTTATGAGTGCAGACAGATTGCCAACACATTGCAATCCAGGTCAGCCTCCACTGATGAGCACAACTTGTCTGCAGTTTGTGTCTTTGCATTAGGGACTCGACTCCACTGGCTGCCATCTGGTTTTATTCTACTTGTATATCTTTTTAAAAGGTTGCCGATGCCGCCCTGCAGCGACTACGCCACTGCGCATGGAGGAATTTCTGTTTTTGAGTTTCTGTCTGGATGCTGTATATGTAAACAACAGCAGCTTATGTCATCACAGGTAATCACTGTGATCATCTGTATTATCACAAACAGCTTTAATGTAATTGCCGACTCAGTCTTATTATCGTTTTTTCACCATCTCCATGCACCAAAGTTTCTTTGAAGATGGCATCTGACTGCTGGTGGTCTCAGAGCTGCAACAGTTTCGAAGGTAACAAGACTGTAAGTTCATATAGTGCAATCATTTTGGTTGTGCCGGGGTTTCCTGTTTTCCTTAAAATCAATTTAGAAATTCAGATTAAGCCTTCGTCACTGCCTCCTTTTAACAGAAGCTTTCCGTGACAGCATGAATATTTCTCACGGTCAACTTTAAAACTGTCAAAAACAACTACGCTTTGTTTGTCTCACATCGAGACACTAAGAAGAATAAACAACACCTGAGGTGTAACTTTATCTGCTCACCCAGAGAGAAACCCTAAAGGGGCTGAGATCACTTCTTAAAAGGAGAAATTTAATCCTTCTTTCTGGGGGTCAGGATCAAGAAATATGGTGTTTGTCAGAACCAGCAGCGTTGTCGTGCTGGGAGTCACATGACAGTTTAAGATAAAGCGAGGATTAGGTCAAATACTCGGGGTATGAGTCAGGTGATGTGAGTTTTCTGAACTTGTCTCCTGGGTTTCACTGGTGCTTGGATGGCTTTGTGTTTTCATTCAGCTTAATGTGCCGGACAACAAGAAGTGCTTCTGAGAGTTCACACTATGTGTTCATAGTTTTCACACACGCACACACAAGCAGAAATATTTGAGGAAACTAGCAAAATAAAAGCAGAGTCCTCTGGTTTAAGCCTCAGCCTTCCATGAACCAAATCACCAAAAAGCCTTTATATTCTCCAAGTGGTCAAAAGTTTTGTTAGCATGAGGTAGAATCTGAAGTCCAGTTTCTATATGCAAGTCTTCAAAGAGACCAGTATGTCTATTTTGTGGGCGTCTAAACAAAAGCACAAACAGCTCGTGGTTTAGGTCCCAACCCAGACTTCGAAAACAAGAGATCCAGTAGCACAATCGCTCTAAGACTTTTTATCGTTTTTCAGACTGGCCTATTTCTGGATGAATGAGAGGGGGAAAGGAAAGTTGGGTGTGATGTGCTCTGCATTTCATGTAAGGGGGATCAGGGACCAGAGGAGAGGGGACGGCAGGGAAAGGAGAAGGAAAGACAAAATGAGGCGTAAATGAGTGTGGACCAGGAGCAGCTGGATGTGCAGGGAAAGAGGATGCTAAGCTGTTGAAATTGAATCAGGATAAAGGAAACTATGATGGGAAAGACTGATTATGAAGACAAATATGGATGGACTGATAAAAAGCTCTGCAATTTCACTGACACCAAAGAAACAGACCAGAAGCAGCAATTTAACCCTGACCCTGTGATTTAACCTTCATCCCTACATCATCTGAGAAATTGTTTATGGTATAAAATGAAACACAACCTGAGTAAGAATTAAAAACTGTAACAAATATGGTTCAGTGCACTGCTCATATTTGAAACACCCTCTGTTACAGCTGCACATTGTTGCTAGTCAAGTGTTACTGTTGCAGTATGTATTCATGTGCGTGTTTGTTTGTGTGAAGGCAAAAAAATCTCTTTTTACTCCCAAAAAAATTACAAAATCAAGTGTTTCAGCCCAGCATGCAAGGAGTCATGCCAGAAAAATGCAGTGGATCCATCCTGCAAACCTGTCCCCTCACAAAGCCCACTCCACTCTGGTTTTGTACATGTGCTACTACAAGAAGTACTGCACATGTGCAGTGATGCACAGTAATACCTTTACCCCCTATCTAGTTAACAGTGTGTGGAAGCCTGTATGGTAATAACAGGGTTTGCAGTGCTGCAAGCTGAGCTAAGCAACAAAGCAGGAAGCACAGACATGTTGGCACAGGAAGTACAAATGCACGTGAAGTAGAACTTACTTTTCAGGCCAGGAAGTAAAGCATGCAAAGGCTCTGGAAAAGAAAGGAAAAACAAATGTTAGTGAAGCTAAGTTAGACGAGGAGCAAGAGTAAATGTGAAAGGATATGTGTCGCCCATGGCGTTGGAAGCTTCCTTCACAATATGAAATGCAATAAAATAACAACAGATGTCCTCAGCTTATATTATATATGATTACATTTATATGGTGCTGATAGTTTTAATGAATGTCAACACAAATGTTTTTTAATACAGTTGCAAAATTGCACCGCAGTCCTGGTTAAGGCGTTTGTAACTCAATAAAGCTTTGTCGAGTTCAGAGGTAGTTTAAGACTCCAAAGGCCCATATATCCTCCAGGATGACAGTTATTTTTACAAAATGGAAAGAAAATAAAGAGAGCCAGACAAGAGGGAGGGAAGAGGGAAAGTGGCTCTTGTTATGTCTGTCATTTCTCACCTTCTCTTTGCTTTGTCATTCTCCCTCTCTCCCCGATTGCTCTTTTTTTTTAAAAAGTTTTTTTCTACAGCGTTTTGATTCCTCTTTCTTTTCTTTGGGATTTTAACGGCAGAAGAAAAAGACAGACGGAAAACAGGGTGAAAAGGGTGAGGGGCAGAGTGACGAGAAGGGAAATTGAGGAATGAAGAGGAAGGGTGGAGGTAAGTTAAGGGGTCGTGGGAAGACGGACTGAATTCTACTGCTGTTTATTATTTGCTGGAGGACGTGGCATCTTTTATGGAAGTGAGAAAGAGTGACAGAACGGAAAAAGAAGGGAAAACGAGTTACAGCACAGATAAAGAAGCGGTAGTGAGAAAACTAGCGTCTTTGACTCACAGAAACATTTGACTTAAAGGTGTACTAATGCACTACAGCACTAAAGGCAAATATATTCTGACTGGTCCTAAAGTCCATAATACGACTCATTTCTGCCTTTAAATCTTTTTACAATAAAAACAAAGTTGTTTCTGAACCAAGGCTCACATACATTTTTGTGAAGTCAGGAAATATGAAGGACTTCAAACTTAACCCAGCGTGTGGAGTGCATGGAAATTTGCCCTTTTTTCTCTGCAAAGCAAATTGTTACAAGTGAGCCGACAGCAGTCGCTGATAGCAGCCTCATTGGTTAACTACTGTCTCTCTGCTCCAGAGTAGAGAGTCTCTCCAGTAATCAAGCACAAGCACGCACGTTATTTTCAGTGCTCGACTGCAGAGACTGAATGGAAGATAATGCTGGAGATGGATAAACGAGAGCAAATAAGGAAACAGCAGGATGGGGTGGTACAGGGAAAGACTAGGAGATAGTGGGAGATATAATAAAAGATAGTGAAGGATCCATGCCCAAAGGGCAGTTGTGACCTACTTTCTTTTTTTGCGCTTCACTTTTTTGATGTGTGTGTGTGTAAATGAGAAATATTATGATTTTTTTTTTTCTCCCCCATCACTCTCGCTCTCTGGCGAAAACACAGAATAAATGTTCCGGTGTGAAGCAGGGAGAGAGTGATAGCTGACAGACGGAAACACTGACCAGCATATTAATGAAGGTGCCAACTGGTGAATGGGACTTACGTGCACACTGCTCCAGGTCAGCGCTGCTGCTCATGTGGATGTTGTCTATTCTGATATGTCCTCTTGTCGGGTGTTCAAAAAACCCCTCAAACACCACCTACACCAGAGAAAGTGACATACAGGTGATTACAGCTCAGCTTATGTGTTAGCTTCTTAATTCAGGGATTCATAAACACGCTAACACTCAGCGGTTATCTACCTGATATTCTCTGGGGCTTCGAGGAAGGATGGTGCGCCCCTCTTTCCAGTGACTGCCTTGGTCACCTTTTAATGCCCATAACAGGGTCTCTCCCTGGTCGCTGTCCCTCAGCAGGACCCTCAGGCTGCCCTGTGCCTCTCCCTGGAGCTGGTAGTAGAACTGGAGGCAGAGCGGGCCTTGCTCTGGCCCCACTTCGGGGCTCAGCAGCCGGGCTTTCTTGCGCAGGGTGTGGCTTCCGGCATCGAGATGAAGGTAGTTCCCTGAAAAATCTGAAAGAGGCCAAAAAGTTGTGCTGGTTATGATACCGATGTAAACTCGGTAATTCATTTCACACTAATGGGTTGTAATAAAAGATAAATTAGCAGCCTTTAAACTGACACATCATTACTCTTCTTACCACAACATGGCACCACATGTATGGCTTTCTGCGTGCTATTTGCATTTTATTCATTAACTGGATCCCCGTTTAATGTATTTTATGATTTGTGACAGTGCTGTGTAGTAATGCAGCAGGATGTGGTTGTTTACAGTTTAAGGCATTACTGCCATCATTCTGTGGTATGGGGCTTAACTGCAAATGAGACTGCCATTTCATCATGGCTGCTAATGGCTATGGATACAAATGAACACACACACACACATGCACACAGCTCTAGACTAAACAGCCCTAATCATTCTGAATGCTGACACCTCATTCTGCTGCTCTCCATGTTTTTGCTACACTTAGTCAGCACAGCCATCGTACCGACGCCGTCACGATGGCTGTGCACGTGCGGTGTGTATCTGTGTGTGACTGCTTCCTCTACACACAATCACTCATTCAGGTTTTTTTTTTTTTCAAATTCACCTTCTTTCTCTGCACTCGACCCAAAGACGGGATAGAAAGACGAGGAGAAAGCAAAGAGGCTGAAGGGAAGAGAGAATAAGAAAATAACAAAGAGTGAGAGAAAAAAGGCTGCACTACAGTGTTTTCCTCCCATTCTGAACACAAGCATAATCATTAGCTTGCTGCTGTGTTTGGCTGTTTGTCTACTATGGCTGGAGAGTAAAAGCTTCGGTGGAGCTGCAAATAGCCTTTTTATCGACAGCCCGACACTGTGTGTGACACTTCTCGAGGAGAGACGGAGAAGAAAAAAGGGTAAAACCCCTAAAATAATATCTATATATCTATATATATATATATATCTGCCCATCCATCCATCTATCCATCCATCTATCTATCCATCTGTCCATCCATCTGTCCATCTATCTGTCCATCCATCTATCTATCCCTCTATCTATCCATCTATCCATCCATCCATCCATCAATCATCCATCTATCTATCTATCCATCTATCCATCTGTCCATCTATCCATCCATCTATCCATCCATCTGTCCATCCATCTATCCGTCCATCTGTCCATCTATCCATCCATCTATCCGTCCATCTGTCCATCTATCTGTCCATCTATCCATCCATCTGTCCATCTATCCATCCATCTGTCCATCTATCTGTCCACCCATCTATCCACCCATCTATCCATCCATCTATCTATCCATCTATCTGTCCATCTATCCATCTGTCCATCCATCTGTCCATCCATCTGTCCATCCATCCATCATCCATCTATCTGTCCATCTATCCATCCATCTATCCATCCATCTATCTATCCATCTATCCATCTGTCCATCCATCTGTCCATCCATCCATCATCCATCTATCCGTCCATCTGTCCATCTATCCAGCCACCAACCATCCATCTGTCCATCTATCTGTCCATCCATCTATCCATCCATCTATCTACCCATCTATCTGTCCATCCATCTATCTATCCATCTATCCATCTGTCCATCCATCCATCATCCATCTATCCGTCCATCTGTCCATCTATCCATCCATCTATCCGTCCATCTGTCCATCTATCCATCCATCTGTCAATCTATCCATCCATCTGTCCATCTATCTGTCCATCCATCTATCCATCCATCTATCTATCCATCTATCTGTCCATCCATCTATCCATCCATCTATCTATCCATCTATCTGTCCATCCATCCATCTATCCATCTGTCCATCCATCCATCATCCATCTATCCGTCTATCTGTCCATCTATCTATCCATCTATGTGTCCATCCATCTATCTATCCATCTATCCATCTGTCCATCTATCTATCCATCTATCCATCCATCTGTCCATCTATCCATCCATCTATCCATCATCATCCATCTATCTGTCCATCTATCCGTCCATCTGTCCGTCCATCTGTCCATCTATCCATCCATCCATCCATCCATCCGTCCGTCCGTCCGTCCGTCCGTCCGTCCGTCCATCCATCGTTGGCTAAGACAGGAAGAAAAACATTTGACAGCTTTTGCCGTTCATCGTAATGAATAATGGATTTGTAACTCAGTTCCTCACTTGGAGGCAATGCAAAAAAAGAGCTAAATTACCGTTGCTCATTAAGTACAGTTAGAGAAAAGTTGAAGTGTTTTTCTGTCGTTCTGCGTTTGATCTTGGCGAACGTACAAGGGGAGGGAATTAATTAACAACTCTCCATGGGAGGGATAGACAGGGATGTAGAATTGGCTCTGAGGGAGGGAGGGAAGTGTGTGTGTGTGTGTGTGTGTGTGTGTGTTGTGTGTGTGTGTGTGTGTGTGTGTGTGTGTGTGTGCGTGTGCGTGTGCTTGTGTGGTGTGTGCGTGGTGTGTGTGTGTGTGTGTGCGTGTGTGTGTGTGTGGCGTGTGTGTGTGTGTGTGTGGGGTGTGCGTGTGCGTGTGTGTTGCAGTCTGTTTACAAGAGTGTTTGTTCACTTTTAGGTATCTTTGTTTATATCTGTGTGTTGAGTCTTTGTGCTCGTGTGTGCATGAGTTCTTGTGGTGGTGTTTCTTCATGTGCCATCCTCACACTTGTACAATAGGCCTGTATGTGTGTGATTAGGTTTCACGGGACACAGACAGCTGATCAATATATTTCCCATCACATTTAAACACCAAGATAATTGGATGCAGCGCTATGAAGAGAACGAAAGCGAGACAGCGCTGTCAGTTATCTCTTTTTGTCTCCATTCAGCCCTTCCTTATCAATAACTGTTCCATCTCCAACAACAAGTCTTTCGATGAAAATCTCCAGGGTGAAGAATTTCAGTCGTGTCATATCTGAGATCAAAAGAATAACTTATGAGCTCTGTTCTGGTTGGATTTTCCTCTCTTAAAAAAACCTAAAAGGGCTCTTAATGACAAGGGCTGGGGATTTGATTTGCATATCGAGACAGCTTCCAGACAGGGTGCCACGCTAATGTTGCTGTAGAACAAGACTTAATGTCATGTTGCTGTCAAACATGGAGACAGGGACGCTGCTAAGTCAATTACATACACTCACAGGCGCACACCCATAAGGGTGCATACATATACGTGCGCACATTCACGAGATCCTAGTGAGCTGTAGAGTTTTGCCTTATGTCACGGCCCTGTCTGTTTATAAAGCTGCTGCTCGTTCAACCATGAACTGGATGGTTTCAGCAGATACAAAGAAAGCGTTGGTGGATGGCAAGGTCATATATATATGTGTGTGTGTATGTGTGTGTTGGGGGGGGGCTTATGCCTTGGGTGTTTAATATACAGACAGTTCCACCTTGAGTTGTGGGTGTAAGTGTGTGTGTGGAGCCCCGGGGAGAGCTGAAGAGCTAAGGCAGCACTTCTGTCAAAGCCATCATCTGACTTATCTGACCGCTCTGGGCCGTGTGTGTGCACCTTATGGGTGTGTAGGTACAGTAAGTGTGTGTGCGATTGATAAAACAGTCCTTCTGCTCTCTTGTTAGAAATGGACGGAAAATTGCAAGAACCACTGAGGGAAACGGAGGTGAAGCCAGCGAGAATATATGATATATCAGTATGAATCAACCTCAAAAGGAAATGAATGACTTTTAATAAAAGAATAATTCAGCTGTATGTTGAAGACAAAAACACGAGATAATAAGGATTGAGAACAAAAAGACATTTGTAAAGAAAGATTAAAGGAAAAGAAATTAGAAGAAGAAGAAACACGAAGCCCGAAGTCAGATAATTACAGCATTCAAAGACGCTTCAAGCACAAAATAAAAGAGATAAGCGAAGAAGAACTGTCGTGGATTAGATCTGAAAACGAGAAAAAATAGAAAAGACCCGACAAACAGGATGAGAAAGTAACAAACTAGGGTAAGGAAAGTGAAACTGTTAAACCTAACGTTTTTTTTAAAACTCCAATTAAGACGTCGTGCACACTTTTTACAGATAAGAGTGAAATCCTTGCATCATGGTTGCTGTCAGTGGTTCCTCCCAGCACTGGGATGCATCATATTCCACCACAGGACGACCGCTTTGCTCTTAATTAGCTCAAGAAGTCTTTGTGCTGAGGAAGGTCAGACATTTCAGCGTGACGATGCTTTCTTTTATGTCTTTAAAAAAACAGAAATATTGTGAAATGAGAAATGCCCAGATAATAAGTAATGTTTTTCTGCTGGGCCTGTGGAGTTTTCAGAAAGTTTGAGTGTTTAATTAGAGGAGGAGGCCCACCCATAAATCCTTTTAATGGGTTCTAACCCTGTGGAGATTTCAGAAGATGGAAGGTCTGCTTGGTGAATTTCTACAGTGTGTGCTTGAGAAAGCCAGCAGAGCTGTAGCTATTAATTATTATTCTCCACTTGTAAGCAGTTTTATTTTGAAAATCTTAAGATCAGATTTTTTCGCGTGAAGATTGTTAAGTGATTACGGATATATGACATTATCACAATAAGAGTACAGAACACAGAAGGCATCAGTGACAACACACAGGTGGGTTGCAAAGTGGCTTGCAGAGGAGCATGTAGGCCTCAGTCACACAGGCCTGAACGTGTATTCCTCGATCGGTTGGTGAGGGGTTTCTGGGTGAAATTAGTCGTAAAGACGGCGCTCCACCAAAAAACTGATTGCGACTTGTTTGGTTGCCAGGAGACTGCTGTGGTTGCCTGTAGCTTTCATGGAAGACGTGTAAGCTCCATGCTAACCTCGCATGTTTCTAAAGGGAAACTCAGAAGGAGCACTTCTGAGAGAAGGGCATGTGTGTACATGGGGTATATCTTATTTTACTAGGTTTGAATTTGGATTTCGCTAGCGCCTAGCGAGTAGTTGGCGTCTCCTATGCAAACTATGATCGACCACGACAGTCTCGTACCAACCAAAGCAACTTCCTGCCATCACCTTCCAACTGGATGAGGAATCTCGGTTTTTCCCTTATCAACCGGTGGCTCCCGCCGGTCTCCACACCTGTGTGACTGGGGTTTAAAGCAGCTTACATAGTGCTCAGGTTAACCCGACCAGATTCAAGATTTATTCAAAATTCTGTCTAAAAATGAGCATTTGTTCTTTGATTTAGACATTTGTGTGTCTGCAGAACCAAATGTCCTCTACAGATTGTGCCTCTTAGTTTAGAGGAAGGCATTATGGGTTGTTAGTAGCTAAATGGGCTAGCGAGGTTATTCTCACATGATGTGAAATTTGCTTTGTCTCACTGAGGAAATGTCAGATTTTTTTTTTTTGTGGCAAAAGACAAAATCTTTGTCAAGCAGCCAAGAAATACAGTGAGAGGACATCGTGGTGAGAAACTTTAAGAGACGGGCTCATGTTAGAATTAAAGCAACACAGTTCATCAAATAGATTTGTTCCAAAAATCACACATTTTATCCCCTTCAGTCTCCAAAGTACGTGCGTACTCACTTTCTGATCCCAGTGCCAGGTCCTGCCTTGTTCCATGAGCGCCGTGCACAGTGGAGCTGCTGCTGGCTGTGTGCAGGGTCCAGCTCACACCTGACTGGGGATCAGCCGACCACCCGCACAGGCTCTGCTCAAAGCCACACACGGCCGACAGGGGCGGAGTGGTGGCTGTGAATCGAGAAAGAAAAACAGATTACAAATAAAGGTTTTAAAAGTGTCTGTTTGGGCTAAAATACTACTGATTACCACCCGACAGCTTCTTCTGAGTGCTTTTAGTATTGTGTTGGATTTAAACAAATTCTTTTTTTCTCAGTTTTCTTTTGTGAGACTCAGTCCTGTAATGGCAGGGTCTTTATTTTGATAGTGCCGTGAGCGACATTCGCATTGTGTTGAGACGTTTTGCAATAGCGCTCAATGCAATATGACATCTTGAAAATCATACTGAATACAAATATTAGAGTAACGGAGAATAAAAGCCAGACTGAAAGAAAGAGTAATTGCAGCAGAAATAACAGAAAGAAAACACAGACAGAAAATGGACAGAAAGAAAACAGCGGAGCAAAAGGTGAATGATACAAAACTCAAGGGGTGACATGAAAGTAATAAGATGAGCACAAATGAGAAGGAAAAATGATGCTGTAATTAGACTGCAATAAGCTGCTACCTTCAGTTGTGCTGAAACAAAAAAGCAAAGGCGCTTCCTTAAACTACATCACAATACGCTCTGCATAAACTCCAGTGAGGCAGTCGGTGACCTATAGCTGTGAAATCATATTCCCAATATGTGAGCCTGTGTTTGTATGAAGATCCTCTGGCTGTGCGAGCTTATTTTCACTCAAACAGAGCTTCCTGTGGGACTATTGAATCTAACAGACTTCAAAGCCCAGAGGCCCCACGGTGCACACTGACATCATGAGTTTGACCTTAAGAGCTCGAGTGTGTGCACAAGTGTGTGTGTGTGCGGATGAGAGACGAGCAGAAATAAATGCATGCGTGCATGCAAGAAATCTGCATATGTGAGAGCGCAGATAGCATGCACTTGAATGAAGAAAGCTTGAGTGTGTGTGTGTGTTACAGCAAAATGTGAAATAGTCATGAAAAATAACCGGTTTGTTTGCATATGTTGACTTAAAAGTTTTTTCCTGACAGTCAGCAGAACTTTGAAACTGACGTATTTCAGCAGGAACTTTAGTTAGCACGTGTGGTGCATATATTCTGTCCAGAGTGAGGACACTTCACCCCGGCAACCAAGAAAACAGAGCTGAAAAGAAGTGGCGACCGCTGCATTTTAAGTCACAGCATGGTCTTTTTATAAACCGAGCTGTTTTGTGTGGGTACATCTTCTTAATTTGCCTTTAATGATACATTATGAATGTCTTTTAAAATAGACCCTCTACATTAGGGGTGGGCAGCTCCAGGCCTCGAGGGCCGGTGTCCCTGCTGATTTAAATGCCTAAATTAGCTCCTCAACATGTCCTGAAGTTCTCCAGAGGCCTGGGAACGAACTAATCATGTGATTCAGGTGTGTTGATCCAGGGTGAGATTTAAAACCTGCAGGACACCGGCCCTCGAGGCCTGGAATTGCCCACCCCTGCTCTACATCTTGCCCTATGACAGCAGGGATAGACTCCACCCACCCTGCGACCCTGAACCTGTGCCGATATGATGTGAACTCGGTCACACCACCAATGCCTCCAACGTGGATTTTGTTAGGATGCCTGGGTCGTTGAGTTTTGAGTTTATTATATTATTATATTATTTATCATTTCTAGTCTTTGGTTTCTTGGTTAGAGTTCTGCCTTATGGTTTACTGTTCCCTCTGTTGCAGTGCCTGCCTGTGAGTCTGTGTCTTTAAGTTCAGTCTGTTTTACTTTGAAGGTCCATCTCTGGTGTTAATGTATTTTTGCTTTGCTTCCCCTGTTTCTTTAGGCCTGATTTGCCCCAACTGTGTTTCCCTCCTGTTACCGTTCCCTGATTGCCCCCTCTGTGTATTTAAGCCCTGTGTTTCTCTGTGTCGCGATCTACCCTCATCTACCCTTATCTTGCTCTGTAAGCGTATTTTGTGTTCTCAGTTTTGTTACCCTTTTGAGTTCAGCATTAAAGCTGTTTAAGTTCACGTTTGTGTCCGGAGTCTGCACTTTGGGTCCTTTTTCTGCCTGCACACAGCCGTTTCATAACAGATTTTTCATACTTTTTATGCAAAACATCAGTTTTGTGTGCCTGGCACAAATGAGTGGACGTGACACCAGACAGATGAAAGCACGCTTTTAAGAAAATAAGAGGTGAGAAATTCACTGTGTGTGTGTGTGTGTGTGTGTGTGTGTGTGTGTGTGTGTGTGTGTGTGTGTGTGTGTGTGTGTGTTTACCAGATCTCATCACAGAGGTTGTCTGTTCCACTCTAGGTGTGGTGGGGGTCACAGTGTCAGGTACAGTGGTGGTTTCTATCAACACAAAAAAATAAACACAAAAGGTTAGAATAGAATAGAATAGAATAGAATAGAATAGGCAATAGATAATTTGTTTTATTGTTTTCTCTCCAAGACAGTCAAACGCTTTGGGGTCCTTAGGGAGTAGTAAAGCGCTATACAAATACAGGCCATAATAAGCAGAGACGACGCTGGGCTTGGAATAACTAAATCTGAGCTCGTCTTGTTAAATATTCACAGTTTGCTCTGCGACTGCTTCGCTGCACAGTGGAAAAGAGTAATATTTTAACAGTGCAGCTGTGATGTTTGAGCAAAGCCAGGCTTTAGACACGGTGCTAACTGACGATGCTTTAAATTCTCTTCGCCGTTTTCGGGGGTTGACGTTTGTCGGGATCCAGGCAGGGACAGAGCGAGCTGATGCGGTGAGCTGGCACTCAGCTCAGGACTGTGCCACACCGCTCTGTTTATCCACTGCAAGCTGGCATGCACGCTCACACAATGCTATGATGATAGATGCTGCACTCACACTGACCTTGGAGCACAGCAGCGTGCATCGAGTGTATGATAGATCAAACACACACACACACTCACAGACCTGCAGAGCAAAGACGTCAGCATTCGGGTATGACAGTGTAACCCCGAAACCTTCTGGTCTTAATAAGCAGTTTTTCTACTGCTGGTTAAGATTCCTTAAATGGCAATGAATGCTTTCCCATCTCTCTCCCTCACACACACACACACACACACACACACACACACACACACACACACACACACACACACACACACACACACTGGTGAAAGTAAGTGTGTGTCTGCGTGTTGACGTAAGGGAACAGAAGATTGGCTTGCGTGGCACAAGCCAGACACCACAAACCTCTCACCAAATTATTCTCAGAAGCTACTTTTTTCTTCTGTTCGCTTCATGGCTTTTCTTTCTTTCCTCCCTTCATATTTCTTTCCTTCTTTCCATCTTCTGTCTCTCGTTTGTCACAATAAATCGGACCAGAATCGGCTCTGCTTCGCAAAACCACTATTGCCACCACAAAAAGCTCTAAACACACATAAACACACATGCTCCCTCTCTCTCTCGACTCTCCTGCACAGAAGTGAAATCGTACCCAGTCTTGTTTCTGTTTTACCACAACCGCAATTTTTGTCTCCATAACTCTTTCCCTCGCTCTCTCTCTCTGTCGTCTCTCCCTGAGGTATATTTCGATTTCTCTTTGCAGCTCTTTCTTTGTCTCTTTGTTGAGATTGGGTCTCTTCCTGTTGCTCTTTCTCACTCTCCTCCACCTTTCAGCACTTTTCTCTGTGCTGTAACTCTGTCCACTGTTATTTGATGTAGATTCTAATCATTCAGTTGAATCTCAGACTGCTGCAGATTTGCTTCGAGTGTAATTGTTGTAGATATTTCCATGACTCACGCGGTGATCTTTCTCTGTGTGTGTGTCTTGTTTAGTGTTAACTGGTAACCTTTGCAAGCCTCTGCTAATAGCTTTGAGTGCACTGCAGTGTTGGGGTTCATCCACTCTAATGTGTGTGTGTGTGTGTAACTTTGAGTTGTTTACACAGTCCGCTCACAGTCAAAGTATGCACGATTATTATGTAAGCCCAAACACTCATATTGCTCTTTCAGCACAGACACACGCGCACACTCAAAATTAGATATTAACATTTAATAAGCAGCTCCCAGCTGCTGACATTAAGCTGTTTTAATTTGGTGCCCTTTACCACTGTAATTAGCCCCCCATGTTGAGGGGAGAGAGGGAGGAATAGGAGATGAGAGGGAGACACGGAAAAGGGAACATAACCCTTTCCACCTCGCACCACCAATTTCCTAATTAGTGACCACACACAGCTCCAGTCAGCCTCCTATTTCGATCTCCATCTCCTCTCCACCTGCCTAATTCAATTTGGCTCTCCTTTCCTCCCCTCTTCTTAACTCCTCCTACTCCTCATCCTCTTCTTCAATCCACCAGGTTCCTCTCTGGATCAGCTGTAAAGATCAGAAATAATTTAAACAACTTAATTTAATAATATTTTTAAAAATGTTGTTGCAGGAACTTGAACTCTTACTTGCTGAATGGAAATAAATGGCAGGACAAATACAAGGTGGCAGAGTTCAGTCACTCGTGGGAAGATTGAAACAGACGTGCATGAGAAAAACCAATCCTGACGTACATATTCTGCAGATGGGTCCACCAGAGCTGACTTACAGAAACCTGCAGAGACCCTCCGACTCGATCTTTTCCACACACAGACGCACACTTTCTAAACTGAAGAACAGAAGGTGTCACAGGCCCAAGGGCTCATTGTAAAGCTGCTGACTGAGCAAGGCAAAGCGGAAACACAGAGACGAAAACTGTTCAATTATGGAAAGAGCTCTGGGTATAAATCCACCTCTGTCAGCCTAAATAATGACTACTGACACAGTGTGTGTGTGTGTGTGTGTGTGTGTGTGTGTGTGTGTGTGTGTGTGTGTGTGTGTGTGTGTGTGTGTCTAAGAGACAGAGAAAGCTGTTGCTACTCAATTATTGGTGACATGGTGCATGTGTGTAAGTATGGAGGGGATTTCCTCCACTTAATGACTGAAAGGCTGAAAGGCATGCCTTCCTTACAGACGGAACTTGCTAACCTGTGTGTGTAAAAAAAGAGTAATATTTTAACAGTGCAGCTGTGATGTTTGAGCAAAGCCAGGCTTTAGACACGGTGCTAACTGACGATGCTTTAAATTCTCTTCGCCGTTTTCGGGGGTTGACGTTTGTCGGGATCCAGGCAGGGACAGAGCGAGCTGATGCGGTGAGCTGGCACTCAGCTCAGGACTGTGCCACACCGCTCTGTTTATCCACTGCAAGCTGGCATGCACGCTCACACAATGCTATGATGATAGATGCTGCACTCACACTGACCTTGGAGCACAGCAGCGTGCATCGAGTGTATGATAGATCAAACACACACACACACTCACAGACCTGCAGAGCAAAGACGTCAGCATTCGGGTATGACAGTGTAACCCCGAAACCTTCTGGTCTTAATAAGCAGTTTTTCTACTGCTGGTTAAGATTCCTTAAATGGCAATGAATGCTTTCCCATCTCTCTCCCTCACACACACACACACACACACACACACACACACACACACACACACACACACACACACACTGGTGAAAGTAAGTGTGTGTCTGCGTGTTGACGTAAGGGAACAGAAGATTGGCTTGCGTGGCACAAGCCAGACACCACAAACCTCTCACCAAATTATTCTCAGAAGCTACTTTTTTCTTCTGTTCGCTTCATGGCTTTTCTTTCTTTCCTCCCTTCATATTTCTTTCCTTCTTTCCATCTTCTGTCTCTCGTTTGTCACAATAAATCGGACCAGAATCGGCTCTGCTTCGCAAAACCACTATTGCCACCACAAAAAGCTCTAAACACACATAAACACACATGCTCCCTCTCTCTCTCGACTCTCCTGCACAGAAGTGAAATCGTACCCAGTCTTGTTTCTGTTTTACCACAACCGCAATTTTTGTCTCCATAACTCTTTCCCTCGCTCTCTCTCTCTGTCGTCTCTCCCTGAGGTATATTTCGATTTCTCTTTGCAGCTCTTTCTTTGTCTCTTTGTTGAGATTGGGTCTCTTCCTGTTGCTCTTTCTCACTCTCCTCCACCTTTCAGCACTTTTCTCTGTGCTGTAACTCTGTCCACTGTTATTTGATGTAGATTCTAATCATTCAGTTGAATCTCAGACTGCTGCAGATTTGCTTCGAGTGTAATTGTTGTAGATATTTCCATGACTCACGCGGTGATCTTTCTCTGTGTGTGTGTCTTGTTTAGTGTTAACTGGTAACCTTTGCAAGCCTCTGCTAATAGCTTTGAGTGCACTGCAGTGTTGGGGTTCATCCACTCTAATGTGTGTGTGTGCGTTACTTTGAGTTGTTTACACAGTCCGCTCACAGTCAAAGTATGCACGATTATTATGTAAGCCCAAACACTCATATTGCTCTTTCAGCACAGACACACGCGCACACTCAAAATTAGATATTAACATTTAATAAGCAGCTCCCAGCTGCTGACATTAAGCTGTTTTAATTTGGTGCCCTTTACCACTGTAATTAGCCCCCCATGTTGAGGGGAGAGAGGGAGGAATAGGAGATGAGAGGGAGACACGGAAAAGGGAACATAACCCTTTCCACCTCGCACCACCAATTTCCTAATTAGTGACCACACACAGCTCCAGTCAGCCTCCTATTTCGATCTCCATCTCCTCTCCACCTGCCTAATTCAATTTGGCTCTCCTTTCCTCCCCTCTTCTTAACTCCTCCTACTCCTCATCCTCTTCTTCAATCCACCAGGTTCCTCTCTGGATCAGCTGTAAAGATCAGAAATAATTTAAACAACTTAATTTAATAATATTTTTAAAAATGTTGTTGCAGGAACTTGAACTCTTACTTGCTGAATGGAAATAAATGGCAGGACAAATACAAGGTGGCAGAGTTCAGTCACTCGTGGGAAGATTGAAACAGACGTGCATGAGAAAAACCAATCCTGACGTACATATTCTGCAGATGGGTCCACCAGAGCTGACTTACAGAAACCTGCAGAGACCCTCCGACTCGATCTTTTCCACACACAGACGCACACTTTCTAAACTGAAGAACAGAAGGTGTCACAGGCCCAAGGGCTCATTGTAAAGCTGCTGACTGAGCAAGGCAAAGCGGAAACACAGAGACGAAAACTGTTCAATTATGGAAAGAGCTCTGGGTATAAATCCACCTCTGTCAGCCTAAATAATGACTACTGACACAGTGTTGTGTGTGTGTGTGTGTGTGTGTGTGTGGTTTTTTGTGTTGTACATGTTTGTGAGGACAGAAAATTGAAGCTGTTGCTACTCAATTATTGGTGACATGGTGCATGTGTGTAAGTATGGAGGGGATTTCCTCCACTTAATGACTGAAAGGCTGAAAGGCATGCCTTCCTTACAGACGGAACTTGCTAACCTGTGTGTGTTTGTGTGTGT